TACACTACTGAAGAGTAGATCCATCAAATCATGAATGTCAGAAGCCTTCTAGCCTAATTCAGCAGCAGAAGGGACAAGATGTGAGCAGGGGGGGAAAGGAAGCAAGTGGTAGAATTGTGAACGGATTGCAAGCATTGTGGAGGAGGCAGGAAGACCAGCACTCACGGCACTACAGCAAATGACTATAATGTGAACCAACATTTTGATTCTAGCCAAAACAGTCACGGGAATTCATGCGTGTTCCAAGAGGAAAACAACAAATAACGCTACCTAGCATTTTCATTTCTGAAAGCCCAGATTCTGCCATCTATTCCACATGAGCGAGAGGGTCAGATTGTGATCCCTTAAATACCTAAATTGTTACTTGAAAATGAATTGCTTCTGTTAAGATCCTGTAAAATTGCCTAAGTTTCTACATAGAGCCCAGACGTGGATGGCTGCACTTGTTAAAAACACAGCTTGATAGTTTCTAATTGTCAGGGCAAATGCTGTCTTATGAATTGAAAGCAATGATACAGGCCAATGATTCCCAGGCGATGTCTAGACTGCAGAGCTTATGCTGCGTCCAAGGAATGCGTCCACTTTTTCTGAACAATTTCCGAAAAAGCAGACATGTTTTTTCACCATTCCTATATTCCTCATTCCTCATACTAGAAATAAGGGATGTGTTGAAAAAGGAGGTTTTTCCGAAATTTGGCACTATGTAGATGATCCAAAGTTTTGCAAAAGCCTCTTTCGAAAGAAAAGCAGAAAAAGATATGCAAATTGAGGTTCACAATTTGCATATTTTTTTCTGACTTTTCTTTGCAGTGTAGACCTAGCCCCGTATAACATACAAATACATTAAAGACCATCAGGCGTGCAGATCCCATGGGTAATGTTGTGGGGTGTATGAGTCTGATTGGTAAATAAACAGACAGGTAGATTGGATACTCAAAATCCTCACAATACTTCATGATTCATTTTAGAAATGATTATTTTTAAGATTAGAGCTTCAGCTAGTAGCAGTTCATGTAATTGCAGGGTTACACCAGCTGCACTTGTACTCCTTTTCCTAGTCGAAACTAATGCACAAATCAAACTCTTGTCTCAAAGATAGAACAGCTGTGTGTGTGCCATTAAGCTGGCTGCAGGTCAAGCTGTACTATGTAACAATGGTTTTACTCCAGGTGCATTGGAGGAGGCAGCCATGACGTAGATAGAAAAATGATCTATGAATATGCATAGACATTTCTGTGGAAACCACTTTTTTTCATGTCAGTTTTAAAAGTGTTGTTGCTGGGTAAATCCAAATCGCCTCATTCTGAGATAAACCATATTACAAGAGGTCATTAAATCTGGGAGGTGTTTTGCATGCATGAGACTAGTTCTCACTCTAAAGGATATGTCTACACTGCAGCATTTTTCTGGGAATATGGCCATTTTTCTGGAAAAACTATATTTACGTCCATACTGCTATTGTCTCCTTCTGACAGAAAGTTGAAAGAACGGAGGGGTTTTTCTGACAGCAATATACCTCTTTCTATGAAGAAAAAGCCTTCTTCTGAAAAGAGGGAGTTCTTTTGAAAGAAGAGGCCTCCAGAAAATAACACAGGTGCCTTGGTGGCCACTCTGTCCATACTAATCACAACTTAAATGCAAGATAGTGTCCAATCAATGTGGATGCTGTCTTTTGAAAAAGCACATTGCTTTTTCATTGCACTTTCGCTGTGTGGATGCTCTCTTTTGAAAAAGGTTTTTCTGGAAGATCTCTTCCAGAAAAGCTTCTTCCGAAAGAAGCTTGCAGTCTAGACATAGCCAAAACAGTGAGCTCCACTCTCTAAGCACACTAGCATGAGAGTGTCTTAGCTCCTGTAGCTCTAAAGCCAACCTTTCACCAAATCTGAGGGCGTATCAATACTAGCAACTTTCACCAACACTCATGAATCAGTTTTAAATCAGTGCAGGCCCCTAATGTAGACACATTTACACTATTTTAAACCAAATTTACACTGATTCTCTGAATTTAGTAAAATAACTAGATGAAGTTAAACGGCTTTAAAAATGACAAACCAATTTAGCTGCATGTGCATTCAAAGTTTGTATTGCTGTTGTAAGTTGATTAGGTTGCATGAGAGCAAAGTACCATGAGTACGTATGACCTGTTGGAACCTGTATTTTATCCCCTTCACTCTGGCTAATTAATAACCACCCAAAACAAAGCACGAATTGAGGGGATAGGTGTTTCTCTTATGCCCACGCTTCAGTGATGCCAAAAGGAAAAAAAAACACTTTAAAATAGAGGGGGAACGTGGACACATTATCAGACTATAGTCTTCCATTTACAGTGGTTCTCCAAAATGTAGCTAGGACTGGAAATAAGCAAACACAGATCTTTTTAAAAATGTAGTCAGTTTTGCTTTTGAAAATAAAAAGCTATGTCCTGCATCAGAGGTTTTTAAAGCCAGCGGGAACTATTATTTTCTATTATCTAATCTGATTATCTGCATGACACAGGCTAGAAAATTTCTCCCAGAGCTTCCTCCGTGCAGTCCAATCACTGATTTTGGAAGCCTCTCTGAGAACTGTACAAAAGACCCAGAGATCCTTATTGGCAGCACCCTGTGTAGAGAAAACCATAACACAGACCACAAAGAGCATTAAAAGTACTGCACCTGTGTGTCTTGTATGGTGTTCAGCCCCGTAATGCACAACAGTGGCTTGACGTGCTTCAGCAGTCAGGTGAGTTTCAAGTTTCCATTATAACGCCGCTGTTTAGTTTGCGGTAGGAGGTCATGGGAGGCTAGCAAACTCCAGAGACTGACGTGAATAGCTCTGGAAAGATCTCTGCTGCTGCAAGATTTTAATAACTCCTATTTGAGCCCTGTTTGCCCAGGAACTTCTTGCATCACCCATGGTCATGTGCCCATCCTACGCTCATATTTGTAATAAACCATGTCAGGCAAAGCCCTGCTGTCGTTCACTTACACGCGAGCTTATGGGGCCACAAGAATCCGAACCGTTTTCTCTCTGTTTTTGCTTTCACATCGCAAAGTTGGCCTTGCAGTAACACAGATGATCCCCTCGGGTGTGAATGGCCACAACAGGAGAACGAGTGTTGAAAAATCCTCATGGAGATTATAACCAAACTGCCCACAGAGTTACCCTCTCCCACACCTTTGGATCTCGCAAGAGTCACATAGATCCCTGGGGGAGGTCCCAAATTCCCTCTGGTGTTTGTCCCCCTGCCTCCCAACTCCCTGTCAGTGCTACGAGATTTCCCCCCATGGCTGCGGAAGCTCCAGGCTCCCAACTCCCTGGCAGTGCAACGAGATTTCCCCCCATGGCTGCGGAAGCTCCAGGCTCTCTCCCGGGACAAGGGCTGTCAAGATAAATCCATATGGCCTGGGACTGTGTCCATTTTTTCAGGGAGCTAGGGACACAACTCCACATGCAGCTCTCAGCAGGGACACTTTTTACACTGGTCTCACTGTACGTATTAGGCAGGGGAGGAGATAACTGAGCGTATGGCTGTTTGGAGACCACACAAGCCCTGCCTTAGGCTGCGTTGGGAAATCAGGATGACAGCTGCAGACTGGCTGTTCCCATTGTCTCCCCTTTAGCAATTGGCTCTTTTATAATGTGTGGTGGCCAAAGTCCTACTCAACTTGTGATATTGCCGATTCCCTGCAAGATTAGGCACTCAGCCCCACCTTCCTGCTCTCAGCCCTGGGTGCCAGACAGTAGAAAATCACAGAAAAGTAATTAGGGACTTCTTTATCGCAGATCATAAGGTCATTACTTTTCTGTAATTTTCCATGGCTGGTCTGCAACACAGCTGCAATTATTTGATCAACATCCTACAATCAAGTAGGACCTTAGTCATTTCATTTAGTTAATTTGCAAAGAGAGCAGGGCGAGTTCTTGGTCGTGAATTGTTCATTCGGCCGGAGCTGGCTTTTTCTGTTCAGAAGGGATTCATGAGAAGACTTTGCTTTTTACAGATGTATTGATTAGGATTGCAGTTCTGCCTATGAGCCCCATGGTTTTAGGCACTGTACGAACATATGACTAGAGCTAGCCTCTGCTCTGAGAGGTGACATCTAAGCCAGGAATGGGGAAGCCACTGACCCACAGAAAAATCAGTCAGGAGCCACACACAGGAGAGAAGCAAAAAACAAAAAACCAGCCCTCACTGACATGGCCCCGGACAGAGGAGAAGAAAGACACTTCCCACATGCCCCTCCCACACCAAATCCTGGGGTGGGAGGCAGCCTAGTAGACTGTGTGTGCTCCAGCCCTGCGATGGGGCAGTGGCGTTGTGGGAGCCCCAATGCAGGCTCCCTAATGCTGGGAGCCTCAGGGGCCGGATCCAGGCAAGTCGGGGGCCACATCTGGCCCCTGGGCCTCATGTTTCCCCCTCCCACTCCTCCCCCGTCAAACCAGACAAGAGCTGGAGAATGGAGGAGGAACTGAGACACCGAGTGATGGGCTGAGCTTGGGCACATCACGTCACTGCTCTGTGCCTCAGTTTCCCTTACCAGTCCAATAGGGATTAAAAATGCTGAGCTCCTTTGTCAAGTGCTTTGAAATCTGGTGCTAGGAAGCACTCAGTAAGAACTAGGTATTGTTGCTAGCACTCGCCATGGTCACAAGGCTGGCTGTGGCAGAGCTGGGACATGAAGCCAGATCTCCTGAGTTTCAGCCCACTGCCTTATCCACAAGAACGTCCTGCTTCTCAAAGGTGAGTGCTCCTGGAACACGCTGTGTGAGCGTTTCTTGGGCAAGAGGCCCTTTGCACACGTGGGCACCTACGTTTGCTATTCTCAGCCATCCCCGTGTGACTGGGCCTACGCCGAAAACAGGGAGCAGCCCTAACAGCAGCCTCTGCCAGCAAAGTTTTGCCCTTTCCCCTGAATTCTTTGGCTAGTGGCCCCTGCTTATCAGTTTCGTCTCAGCTCCCCACCCAGCACTGACACATGTTTATAGTCAAATGAAGTAAAAGTTTATTTAACACAGCTCAGAGATGCAAGTGAGAGCAGGCAGAAATATTGGAAACCAAATGTTATGAATAAAACACAATCATAACGCACATTCTAGACTTAATTGCTTCACAGCATTTCACAGCCAGGCTGGCTGTGACCCTCCTTCCATAAGACAAAGGCATTGTTATCTTGCTTCCTTGACCAGGAGTTCTCTGCATGTCCTTTGGTTCCCCAGTAATGCCCTAAACATCCTTTGTCTTTAGGCACAAACCAGACACCCCCTACTGTTCCTCGCAGCCTGTGAAATTCCTCTTTGGTGGTTTTCATGATAATTTCTTCTGCCCGAGGTTCCGTATGAAAATAGATCCAACATTGTCAGGTGTACAAATCATAGCACGCATATGACCATGCAGGGAAATAGACATCTATCATCTCCTGCCTAAAAGGAACATGTCTGAGTTGAGTTACCTCCCTGTGAACTGCCTTCATTTTAAGACCTTACTAACATATTTTCTGTATAGATACCTGACCCCGTAAGTGAGAGCTGTACACACATTTTGCTGTGATTTTCCTAGTCCATTGGTTAAGAGCCCACATGCCCGCTTTGGTGAACTATTCCACACACCCGACTCAGGAATCCCTGTAAAAAAAAAAATCCCCATGCATTTCTCTGTCCTCCCTGCCAGCTGACATGCAGAGATCTCTGGGTCACAAGTTTCTTAATTCAAAATACTCATTTCTGCCTCCCTGACTGCATCATAAAACTCACCACAGAGTCCTTCTTCCAAAGGCTGCTATTGACTGGCTTTCATTCCAATTTCTCAGCTCATCGGAACTTCCCATTTCACTGATAAGAAACCCATGTTGCTATAAACACTATGCTCTGATCCAAAGTTAAAAACCCCTTTGTGCTGCAAAGCTGGGGAACTTACAGTGTATTCAGTTGGCTTTGCCATAGGCTTTTTCCTTGCTCGGAGACTAGGATCCCAATCCTACTTGTGGGCTTCCAGCAGCTTTTCTACTTCACTAGCTGTTTTCTAGGATCATCTGTGCTCTTTTCTCTTCCCCAGCACTAGGTTGCAGCATTTGCCTTCCAAGAACGAGAGGCTGGCTCGCCTGGATTTCCAAGAAGTGGATTTTTGACTGGAGATCAAAGATTTTTTTCATAGACGGGAGTTCTCAGCACTAAACAGGATGTGAGATCAGCTTGGAAGCAGAAGGCTAAAGCCTGCCTGGGTATAAGAGCTACTGCTCAGAAAGGGATCGCTGCCTCCCATCAACTGATTAAAAGCCCCCAACTAAACTGTCCTCAGTTCTTCAGCTTTCCAGTGCAGTGGAGATTCTGAATATTAAATCAGTGACTGGCAATTAAAGACAGAGCTTTGTTCTCTATGAAAGGGGCAGTTTTTCAGCTGATCGTTGTACCACAGAATAAGAAGGGAAGTCTCGAGAATGGGGGTGCAATGCACAATAGTTCACAAAGAGAGACAAGGTGGGGAAGGTGATATCTCTCATTGGGCTAACTTCTGTGTCCGCTCAAAAGTTCGTGTCTCCCACCAGTACAACAATCAGCTTACAAACTGGTGTCTTACTCCTGTTTAATTTACTAGTTGGTTTCAAAACCTCCTCTACTGACAACTCAATCAACAGCTCCTCTGATTTGTCACCTAAGAAGAATGGCACAGGGAATCTCCCCCACATCCTCTGTGGTGTGGAGCAATTCAAACATTAATTTAGCTTCTCTGAGACAGCTTTGTCATCTCGGATTACTTCTCTGGAAACACAATTATCCAGTAGTTCCACTGACCGTTTGGCAGGCTTTCGGCTCCTGATGTATTTAAATAAAAATTCCTGTTAATTTTTGTTTCCTTAGCTAGTTGCTCTTCAAATTCTTTCTTGGTCTGTCATATTATTCTTTGATACTTGTCTCGGTTGAGTTTATGCTCCTTTCCATTTTCCTCACTAGGACTTCACTTCCAATTTTTAGAGGCTGACCTTTAGCTTCTAACCATCTCTTTTATTCTGATGTTTAACCATGGTAGATTTTTTTTTTTGGTCCTTTCACTGTTTGTTTTTTTAATTTGGGAGTACATTTAGTTTGAACCTCAGTTATGGCACATGTAAATAGTCTTCATGCAGTTTGCAGGCATTTCACTCTTGTCACTGTTGCTAAGTTTTGTGTCGTTTCCTCTTTTGAACTTAAATGCAATTGTGATTGGTTTCTTTGGCATTTTCTGCCCTCCAAGAATGTTAAATTTAATTACATTATGATTGCTATTACTTCATAGTTCTGCTGTAGTCACCTTTTGACCATATCCTGCGCTCCACTTAGGATTAAAATCAAGAATTGCCTTTCTCCTTGAGGTTCCAGGACAAGCTGCACCAAGAAGTAGTCATTTAACGTGTCGAGAAATTTTACCTCTGCATCCTCCTCTTCTCAGGTGACGTGTACCCAGTCAGTATGAGGACAGTTGAAACCCCCTACAATTATTGCGTGTTCTGTCTTCATAGCCTCTCTAATCTCCTTGAGCATTTCAGAGTCACCATCACCTTCCTGGTCAGGTGGTCGGTAGCATATTCCTACTGCTCGGCTCATTTTTTGAGCATGGAATGTCTATCCATAGAGATTCCGTGGGGATTTGATTCGTTATAGATTTTTACTTTACTTGACTGTGCTTTCTTTCACATAAAGTGCCACTCTCCCACCATTCCTACATGTTTTGTACCCTGCTATTACCACAGCCCCTTGATTATCCTGAGTCCACCAAGTGTCCATGATGCCTGTTATATGAATAGCCTCATTTAAGGCCAGGCACTCTAGATCACTTAGTATGTAGACAGCTGGCATGTCTCTGATGAAACATAGGGAAGCCCTTTCTTCTTGTCTACATTTGGCATCTGAACGTTGAGCCTTTCATCTGCTCTTCATAATGCGCATCAAATATCTCATTCTGAGCCACGGTGAAGAAATTCTTCCAGTCTCCCGACATCCCTAGTGGGAAGAAAAAAAAATGAAACAGCTAGCATATGCTCCCCTCCTGGGCTTCTGCTCCACTTCTGAGGTTCTGTTTCTGGTGTCGTCTTTCCCAAGGATAGTCCCAAAGGCCCTAGCATAGCACTGTGCTGTTCAGACAGAATCCTAAGTCAGCTTTCTGGTGTCCTCGGTGCCTAGATGAGGGGTGGGCAGTAAGGAGCCCACAGGCCAGATGCAGTTCACTAGAATTAGCCGCCGATGGGTTGCCACCACTTTATTTACCTCCGCATCTACAGGCATGGCCACCTGCAGTTTCCACCGGCCATGGATCACCACCTCCCACCAGGGCCAATTTATCCATTAGACACAGTGCCTAGGGCCCAAGATACATTTAGGGGCCCATGAAAATGTTTTAATTTCTTTTAAAATCAGAAGATAAAAAATGAACCTTTTAGGGCCCACGAAAATCTATTAAATTTTGCCTAAAACAGAAAAAAAATAAAATGTTGAAGTATTTAAAGTTGTATCAAAAATAATTTTTAATATTGATATTATGGTGGGAGGGGCCCATGAAGGTAAAAGTGCCTACGGCCCACGAAAGTCATAATGTGGCCCTGCTTGCCACGGATCCCATTAGCTGGGGATGGCAAGTGGCCGGATCTCCATATGCACAATGGGAGATGCAAGTGGCCGGATCTCCATATGCACATGGGCCTTCCATAGGCAGCGTGACAATTAGATGGATTTGTCTCACAGGGTAAAACACTGGCTCCAGGAATTTCTCTTCCTGTAAAAGTGGAATCAGGAGCTAGTAAAAGATGTAGAAAGCTGCTCCCGCTGTTATCGTAGAATGATAGAATTCCAGGGCTGGAAGAGATATCAGGAGTCATCGAGTCCAACCCCCTGCCCAAAGCAGGACCAACCCCAACTCAATCATCCCAGCCCGGGCTTTGTCAAACAGGGACTTACAAACCTCTAGGGATGGAGATTCCACCTAAGGGTGTTAAAGTGATTAATTTACTAGTAGTGTAGTCGATAGGCACTTCCGTGTTCCGCCTTTGAAATGTACAAGAGCCCTAGCGGGGGCTCTTGTACATTTCAAAGTTGGAACACCACATGGAGCCCAGGGCCGCCGGGAAGTCCCACTGACTCCTGACTCCATGCTGCACTTCCACTTTGAAATGCACAAAAGCCCCCACTGGGGACTCTTGTACATTTCAAAGCTGGCATGCCATGTGGAGCCCAGAATCAGCTAGGATTCCCCAGCTAACCCTGGGCTCCGCATAGCATTTCAAAGTGGCTTGGAGCCCCGGATCAGCTGGGTACTCCCCAGCTGACCCCAGGCTCCACATGGCGCTGCCGCTTTGAAGTACCCCTTTTTTCCCCTCCTCTTGCTGCCTCTATTTGCTTATCGGATAGTCAACTAGTCCTAAATTCCACCCCCTCCATAGGCAATACTTCCAATGCTTCACCACTGTATAGTGAAATAGTTTTTCCTAATATCCAGCCTAGACCTCCCCCACTGTAACTTGGGACCATTGCTCCTCGTTCTGCCATCTGTCACCCCTGAGAACAGCCTCTCTCCACCCCCTTTGGAACCCCCCTTTCTGGGAATTGAAGGCTGTTCTCAAATCCCCCCTCGCTCTTATCTTCTGCAGACTAAATATGCCCATTCCCTCCACTTCTCCTCATCTTACTTACTAGTCTTTCCTGTATACCACTTATGACTGCAGTAAGGAACTCTTACCTTTTCTCATGAATGGAGACACACTGTGGTCCATAGCCCAGGTTGGCATCATTTCATAGTTGGTAGTAGGATTCTTCTTCATCTCCTGGAAGGATGTGTGGTGGAGGATTTTATCCACCACTTCCTTCTTCAGCTCCTTTCCCAGAAACTTGATCACCTTCTCTGTTTCACGCTTTGGATCCTGCCAAGAGAAAGACCCTCAGGTGGTGAGGCATGATGAGGGGTAACATATCACTGAGTACAAGTTTTCCTAGCCACTCTCGGATGTGTTGGTAGAACATGACCGCTCTCTTTTGTATTCACTTGGGACCTGATCCAGAGACCAAAGTAGTTTGTGGAGGAGGCCTCTGATGAGCAAAGACCAGTTCTTTTAATGGGCGACACCTCACAATAACCAGTGATTTCAAGAGCCCAGAAAAAAAGCAAAGATCCCCAAAGGCTTGCTATCCCTTATAACTATCTTCCGGCAGAACACTCCATTTATCACGTGGGCTGCTACATAGTTCTGAAAGCAGAGGGTACAAACTCACAGCAGCAGGTGAGAGAGGAGGGGGAAAAAATGTCAAACCTCATTGTAAATATGAAAAGTAAGTTGCTTTCATTTGAAATCTCACTAGAAGAGCACTAAGTAAGCTTCTCATGTTTTAGCACAGGCAGCCCTATGAAACAGCCACCCCTTTAAAGGAGGAGACAGCAGCTAGCTGAAACCTTTAAACCAAAGTCTCACCAGCCCTAAACTCTCACCTCAGCTAAGCTGTAGCCCTGCTATATAATCCCATGGATCCATCCCTTACTGCTTTTAGACAGACAGCTTCCTCTATGTACTTTTTCACTCTTTTGGGTGTATTTTTACTCCTCTTAAAACACCCGCCCATCTTGCTTCCTCCAGCCACAAGGAAATAAGGGTCCCTTGCCCAGTGCTTTTTTTTGTGACATTTCACACTGGGACGGTGTACCGGCACCTAGTTTCCCATCTTCCCTTGAATGGGATTCCCCTCTGGTGTACTGGCACCTATTTCCTGGGGTGGTGTGGCTCGGGACATGTGGCACGGCTTTCTTTCTTTCTTTCTTTCTTTCTTTCTTTTCCCAACAACTTTGACACTGGAGTACTGGCCCCTTTCCCCTTACAAAAAAAGCACTGCCCTTACCAACACACCACCCCAAATCCAAAGCAAGCAAAGACAGAACAAACCTACCAAGTAATATTAATCAGTTTCTTGCTCTTCAATTAGAAGCCACAGCTGTGGCCTTCTCTGAGCACCAGGTGGTGCTGTGGAAAGGTATAAATAACAGTCCTTAGACACACACACACACCCCTTCTCTTTCATGTGGAGTCTGGGTGGGTAGCCATATGGCTACTGTAGCTGCTTCTAGTTCCAGTGAGAGCTCAATCAAAATGCCTTGCCTTAAGGGAAGAATAGCCAAAGAATTCTCTACACAAAGAAAATAACCAGCCAAGCTATGCAGGTAAAACTCTGTATACACACTCCACTCCCAGACTTGCCCCACGTGGCTTCTTCTGCGAGATTATGAAGCCAGCTCTGCAGTTTGCAGCTGAATGGTTTGACTTCTTCCTGCCTTTGAATGTTATCGCTCCCTCAAGGCCTTTAACACCCCTTAGCAGATCTACCCCCTAGATTTCTCAGCTCTCTGTGGAGGTTTACTGTGTCCACAGCAGCTTTAGCTCCCATATAGATTTCAGCTGCACCCCTCCCCCACATTATGGGTGTGGTTCTACAACTGCCAGCCATCTATCTCTGGTTCCCAAACGGGGTTCTGCATGGGGGTACACAGAGATCTTCTGGGGGTATCTCAACTCATCTCGATATTCAGGCTACATAAAAGGCACCAGGGAAGTCAATACGAAGTAAAGGTTCATACTGACAAACTGGGAAAGTTTGCTGATTCTTGGTAATGGCGTGTGGTGACACGTCTGTGGTTTGATGACAGGCTTTTGTAAGCACTTAGTTCCCAAGGGAGGTGAAACTTGGGGTAGGCAAGACAAATCCTGAAAGGGGGACAGGAGTCTGGAAAGGTTGAGAACCAGGGATCTAGCACCTTATGTCGGTGTCTGAATAGGAGGGGGGTTTCTGGAGAGCCTGCTCTCTGAATTGAGTGTGTCTGAAACTCTTGCCTTACGCGACCGATGCAGAGTGGGACAGACGTAAGCTCCCCTGACACCCTTCTTGTGCTTAGTCACAAAACTTCCCTCTGTTCACCCTAGGAGCGTCAGAGAGTGTAATCTGCGGTTGCTGTGCGGCCGAGTGCAAAGATGCGAGACGGCAATGCCTAAGGATGGCTCTGCCATGCATTAAAGGTCCATTAGGCCCCCCCAATATCGCACTGGCTCTGGTGAAGCCTGATGCCCCTTTGCTCTTTGTTTGTACTTTGGGTGTGAAAAAGAAAGGGCAGGGGAAGAAAAGCCCCTGTTAATTGATTGCCATCAGGGCCAGGACGTGTGCATGTGGCGGGGGGACTTGTGTTACCGAGAGGAGAGAGATGGAGACTCCATCGCCTCCTAGTTCCACCTCCGCTTGGTGTTGGTGGGGGCACAAAAGGGAGTGTGAACAGACACGCGCAACTGGTCAGGAGGGGCACCGGCCACATGACTGGTTCCCACCGCCGCCCCTGGGCCAGGGAAGAGCTGAGACAACCCCCACTCTGCCCCAGGCCCAGTCTGTCCTCTCCTCGGCTCCACCCCCGCCTCTCCTCTTCCTCCAAGCTCCCCACCCACAGCGACGTGGCCCAGGAGGGGCGGGTCAGGTGCCAGCAGCAGGGCGACCCTCCTTCCCGCCCTCACCAGCAGCGACGGGGGCGGGGAAAGGAGCAACGCAGCCCTCGCTCGCTCTGCTCCCCCCAGCCGTGGGGCTCCGCTTCCTGCCAATGAATTGTGGGGAGCCGTCCCACCCCCTTCCCTGAGCAACGCACCCGGGATGCAGTGATCTGGGAGGTGTTGCTCCTCTTCTACTGCTGCTAGGGAGTGCGGAGGAGGGGACAACCCCTGTTGCGGGCACCAGGCCCCTGCCCGGCCCTGAGTCGTTGCTGGCCCCTTGCCTCTCCTGCCCATGGCATTTGTGCCTCTCCACAGCACCCCGTGTACAGACCAGACTAAAATCAGGTCTGGGGAAAGGCCTCCCTGGCATCCCTGCTTTCTAAACCACCGGGACTAGAACCGCCAAGCCGTTTAGGGATCGTTTACTCCGTTATCATAAAACACCAAGGTTCAAATGAACCCTTGCTGGAGTCCGCCGATTCCACTGGCATTTCGGTGGGTGGCAGCTGCAGGAGGGAAGCGTGAGGCTGAACTAGCTGCCTGAGGTCTGCCCTGAACGTGCTGCTTACCGGACTGCTGGGTTACTAGTCCCGCTGCATGTCAGTGTGCCTCAAAGCCAAATGCAAAGTGTGTTCCCCTAATACAGGCAACTGCAGAGCCACCCCTCCACGCCTAGCGAAGCCAGCGCTGCAAACGGCCACGCAGGAGAAGAAGGCTGGCTGGGTTTCTGGACTGGGACAGAGGAGATGTTCAACTCCTAGGTCTGGCACAGATTCCCTCTAGGCAGATCCATCTGCCAGTTGCTGAGTTTAATAGGTGTACGGGGCGTTGTGAGTTCACACCTGTTGCTGAGTGGGATGGGTTCAGATAGGACAGTGAGTGGAGCCCTACACACACACCTAGATAGTGAAAGGAGGCATTTGGAGCGGGGTCCCCTGACAATCTGCTCATCCCTTCCCCTCCTCACCTCTTTCATGTCCTCGTAGAACAGGAACAGAATTCGATAGTCCTTCTTCTTCTCCCACCAGCCTTTGACGTGATCGTACCAGGATCCGTAAGCCACTGCAGCCAGATTGAACCACGCAAGCAAGAAGGGGAGAGAGACAGTCATAGCAGGTCCTGGTTCTAAGAGCCTCCCAGTTCTGCACCCAATGGCTGAACCAGGCTGGATGGAACTGAGGGCCATGTGGTTTGTGGATTCATTATGCACTCTTTCTTCAACATCCAGCTGGGATTTTTACAGGCATCTAAGGGTAGGTCTGCGCTGTGATTTAAAAACCTGGGGCACTGAGTCTCAGAGCCTGGATCAGCTGCCTCAGGTGCCTGGGGCTGACCACGCAGGGCTAAAAATAGCGGTGTAGACATTCAGACTGTTTGGAGCCCAGACTCCAAGACCTGCTTGGGTTGCCTAGGGCTCCTGCTTGGGTTGCCAGTTTTGTCTGGCCAGATTTCTGGAAATTTCATCACATGACGTCCTCTTTCCTTCCAGATTAACCTCCCATCCGTGGAGACTCCAGAACAAAAAAGCTAAAGTGGCAGAGAAGGGTTTTGGGGGGGAGGATTAATACAAAGTTCACTCACAAGTTAGGTAACATGCTTGCTCTGCATTGTCCGGCTGGGTGTTCTGTCCAGTTAGATTGTGTAGTCTGGGGAGGAGCCGCGTGACTGTGTGAGAGCCGCGCGGCTGTGTGTGTGCGCACGGTGTCTGCGCGGCGCCGTCGGGCCCCGTGGCAATGCCAGCGTGAAAGAACCCTTACTATTTTGGCCTTAACCGTGCTTTGCAAACTCCTCTGAGTAACATGTCAATGTTCTGGTGGGTTTGGATTCCTGGCTCCAGACCTGAAACTGAAACGTTTGGGCTCTGTTCCTGATGGGGAGGCTTGTGAGGACATAGTCTGATAAGACTGATTTCTATAACAGTGGCCTTGTGGGATCCTCTCGTGCTACACACATTGAGACAGAGCCTCAGCCCCCAGGGATAAGAGGGGAATGAAGTCACTGAGTGGTGATTAAACCAAGGTCACCCAGGGAGGTGAAGTGTCTTGCCTAAGGTCACTCAGCAGCTCCGTGGCAGAGCTGGGACTAGAACTTGCCTTAGTCCTTTGCCAGTGTCCTCACCACTGCACCACATTGCTGTGGCTTAATGTGGCCTCCCTGCCCATAGGAACTTGCTGTTCTTTCAGGCTCGTGCCAGGAGATATCCTTGACATGGGACTCTTTACAGCCCAACGGAATAACGTCCCTGGATTCGTGCCCAGGATGTGATAGGTGAATCTCTTTTCTGTTGTTTACGTTCCTCTGCCGCACCTGTTGCTGTGGTTTCTCAGTGGCTGCGCCTACCTTTCCCAGCCATGAACGTCTGCAGGAACTCGTTCCAGGTGCCAGGGTCTGGATGCATCTTTGCCATCTGCCCCTCCCTTCCCCAGCCATGAACGTCTGCAGGAACTCGTTCCAGGTGCCAGGGTCTGGATGCATCTTTGCCATCAGGTAGAAATGATAATAAGAGACAGCCACATCCTTGGCGTTTCGGGCCACGTAGATCATCTGCAGGACAGAGAAGGGACCGCAGGGCAGTCTGAATTAGCAGGGGCTGAAGGGACAGAAACCTGCCTAGATCTAGAAGGGAGTCTCTCTGCCCCAGCACAAACACCATCCCTGCGCACACGGCAGATGAATTTTGGGGAGGCTGCCTTTCTGACGTGTCAGGTGCTGGATGCTGCTGGAAGGCAGCTGCAGGAGTAGGTGGGCTGCCCCAGTGCTTCCTTGCCAAGTCTCTCTTGGGAGGTTGGAACTGGTTACCTTGCAGTCCTGCTCCCAGAAGGAGACGGGGAGGAGCTGAACTGGGAGGTGGGTCTTCACTATTCGAGCCGATGGCAGCGTGGCCAGCTGCTCCGTGCCTGGAAAATACACCAGGGGTTAAAGGAATCATCTGGAACACCTTAAATCAACAGCCTGTGCTCACCGGGGAATGAGTCAGCACCCCCTGCCGCTTCCTTCCATGGTGTTCAGAGGGAGGGAGGGGCAGGTACCTGCGCTCCCCAGCCTAGCTCTCACGTTGTGGGCCGCTTTCCAGTGCACTGGAGTCTTAGATCAACTCTACTGATTTGCAAAAGCGGCGAGGAGTCCTGTGGCACCTTACTGATTGGGTCCTTGCAGGCGCCAGTCTAAATGTATCTTCTCTTTAACTCCCATCCCGGGGCCCACAGCAGCACTTGCTTCTCGGACCTTGCCCGCCCCCTCTGCTCAGAGGTGAAAGGAAGCGGGGGCACACTGGGGCGCAGCTACAGCAGGAGCAGGCTGAGCTGCGGCAAAAGCCAGAAGGAAGCTCTGGAAAGAGCTGGCAGGGACCGGGCTGCGATAGGACTGTCCCTGTAAGAAATTTGTTACTTCCCCCCCTGCCTCTGCTCATGTAGCTCTGGTTTCCACCAAACAGTCCTGCAACCGTGGTGGTGCAGCTTGCGCTCTCGGCAACTGCTGCTGTCTGGGATGGCTTTCCTGCCTCTTTCCACTTCCTTCGAGAGGCCTCTGTCCTAGCCGATCTTGGCCTTGCTGATGACTCTTTAGTTAAGCACTAGCAGGGAGGCCGTGGATTCCCCACCTTTTTGAGAACCGAGGCCTACCACGGATGATTTGGGCATGCTTGGTCTTGCTTCCACAGAGAGAGATGGACTAGATGGCCTCTCAAAGTGCCTTCCAGCCCAACATTTCTATGATTAGTGGTAGTAAAAGGAAAGAGAGACCCTGGTCTCCTATTTACTTGAGAGCGTTTGTCTGTCTGTCTGTCTGTCTCTGCTTTTGTCTCTTTAGTCAAGATCTCCTCCTAAATGGTAAGAGCTAGAACCACCAAATTTGGTATGCGGCCCTAACTTAACGCAAGGTCAGGGTTTGGTTGTGCCAGGACAACGGGATATGCCCAGAAAACCGTACTGAAAAGAGACAAAATCATGAGGCAGATGAAAGGGGCTCACTGGGAGCCATCCCCTGTCTGGGACTGCCCCAGCCCTAAGCCTTCCACCCCCTCAGACATCCTTTACGGAAGTTGGGAGGGCTGCATTGCTTCCCTCCCCCCCTCCACCCCCGATTTCTAAGGGGCCATTGTTGGCTGTTCCCCTTTGTCAGTGAGCAAGGGGAAAGTGCCCTGTTTGCTGCATTCCTCACACGGGTTGGGGCAGATGAACTATGTACTTTGTTCTTGCTCCCTGGTTTTGAAATATACAATCATTTAAATAAAGTGTGTACATTTTCCTTTGATTTAACAAAATGTAAATGAGTCAAGGACCCGAGCAATGCTGGGTAAATGTGCTACTTTTATATAGCACTGCCAGTGCGGGACAGTGCTTCCCAGATATCAGAGTCTCTGAGCTTAAGACGGGCAGGGACTTGGGCTAGGGTAAGGAACAAAAGTAGCATGACTGTCCTTTACTCCATGTCATGAGACTCCCAGAGCGTTGCGTTCTTTAAGATCTGCCCCTAATGCTGCCCCGTTTCACTGAGTTTCTGGCTTCCAGAAGCAGGACACAGTGCACACGAGGATCACAACTTTTTTTGACTGCGTTTGTGCTTTGGTATGATGACTAAGCAGGAAATAAATGAGTTTTTAAGACAGGTTTCGGAGGAGAGCTGGGACAATGTCATGCTGACTGGGTCAGGGAAGTCAACGTTTAATCCTGTAGAGCCGGTAGGTGTCTGGGTTGGGTATAAGATTGCCAACCTGGAAATATTTAAAAACCAGACACTCCATCAGAAGTGCCTGTCTCTCCCAAACCCTTCCCCACCCCATTCACTCCTCTTCCCTCCTGTCCCCGTCACTCGGTGCTATTCCCCTCTCTGCCCTTCCAAGCCCTGCCTAGGTCAGGAGGAACTCACCCGCAAAGCCGTGGCTGAGAGCTGCAGCTGCTTGATACTGGTAGGAGGCAGCCCCGGCTGAGTAGGGGCTAGTGTTGGTAATGACCTGGCACTCCTTGCATTTCTCACCTGCAGTAACTGGACATTGGGTGTCCAGTCCATAGATACACTTTTCGACTGGACTTTCTGGTCAAAAATTGGGCACCTGGCCACCCGATTTGTTCAAAGACACGCTAAAACCAGCTGCATTGTTCTTGAGTGTGAGTTCCACACGGTATTAGAATCAGCCCAGAGCCAGCATCCCTACTTCTCCTCCTACCATGGCTCCTATGGGAGGAGACTTTTGCATTTGTCTGATCTTGTGTATTACTCTTACCACTTATTAATCCAGGGCAGCTCATTTCCATGAAAGGGACTCGATTGAAAATTGCATCCCGTTTGCATTTCTCCTCGTCCCCGTCATTGTAGATCATGTCCACAATTTCACTGATCCAGGTGGTGCCTGGAAAGTAGATCGAAAGGCAACATTTCAAAAATAAGTGCATGCTGTCTTCTACTGTGGGGGAGGAGGGGTGTACAAAATTGGGGTCTTCCTCCCTCCCCACAATATTTATATACATGCTTATCGTGACTTGCCTGATTTGGGATAGGTGGAGATGAGAAGGTCGTCTGGCCTGGCCTGGAATGCGTCCACCTGGGCCCACTTCTCCACAAAATAGGAATAGAGAGGGATTCCATGGATACTCCCTAATTCCTGCCTTTGTGCATTTTCCATTATGGAAGGGCTGAGTTATGGTGAAGAAAAAAACGGGTTAAATGGCTTTCATTATTTGCCTGATACCTATATGGAAGACATTCCTACCCTCAGGGAACTAACCCTGGTTTCCAAGCAGTGGGGCGGAGGAAGTCAAATCCTGTTGTTGTTAGGGATATAAAATCCCATTTAAAAAGTTAACCTGAAACATGCAATGCAGTGGGTCTGGCCAGGCTGGAGCAGCTCCCCACCTGCAGCGTGGCATGGTGGGCCCAGCCAGGCCGAGTCTGCCACTGCATGGGCGGGGGCTTCTCAAGCCAGGGTGCCATGGGTGGGTGGGGAGCCACTCCAGCCTGCTGATTAACCACTTACCCAGTAAGGGTGAGGTTTTGCAGGTACTGGTTAACTGACCTGCGTTTTCATTAGTGTCTCTTACATAAATCAATGTACTTTGCCAAACCAAAAAACAAAACCAAACTCAACAGAATTTCATTAGAGAAGAGTTAAGATTGGAAATGTTCCACTAGAGCCCAGTGTAGCCTTTGCTTTTATTTCAAGTGAGTTTTGTAAGGGAGTATTATACCAGCATGGGTTTGGCTCTAACGGCTAAAGTTTCGAGCTTACCAGAGTAAAAGTGACCTCTCTTATGTGCTTTATGCTTACCTATGCGTAACGGCATTCTATACAGACCTATGCACACATCACAAATGTTAGGGTTGCCAGATGGTTTCAACAAAAATCCCAGACACACTTGACATTACATCACAATCGACATTCTATCGTATTTAGAAAATACCGGACACTTCTATTTTCTCAATTTGTTTCCCAAGCAGAAAGCTCAAATACTAGACTCTTCAGTTCAAAAACGGACACCTCGCAATCCTACAAATAGCTATACTCAGAACTACCACAGTGCTAGGGGCTCTCCTGGATCCATCATCAGTACAGGGATGGTACCTGTTGGAGTTTCCCAAAGGGAGCTCAGTTTTCCTCATCTAGGGATCCTCGTTTATAATGTGATTCTGACTGTTCTTCATTAGCATTTTTGAGAATATTGCACTTTGCTGTTAGGGCGTGTGTTAGGAAAAAGTGATTACCTGGTATCTTGTAAACAAAAAAGTACTTTTCCTGTTAATGTTTTACAAACTTATCCATTGGCACATCTTTCCCTGTAATCTTAGGCATTGGATTATTCTTTGGCCACTTACTTATGTCAGAATTCCTCAACACTCTGGCCTAGTATAGCAAAGCTAAAATCTTGCCAGTTTCCATCTACAGGCCTTGCATTTCAACCCAACTTACATGTGTGTCTAATACATGAATGTTCCCTCTACCTACAGCTCAGTCTTATGCTTCTATAATTCTACTGTTGAATTCTATTTAGCATACAATGGTCAGATGCAAGATTGCATGTTAGTTATAATACCACATAATAAAAGAATGATAAATTAAATCATTGGCTATGCCCAGACCAACATGACTTGTGCTTTGCAAAAACCCAGATGCTTTAAAACCATAGGCGTGTTCATGTTCTGGGAGAGGAACAGCCTGTTTTTTCAGTGCCCATTTAATCTTTCCTCATTCGTTATCATGCTACCCAATTTACAACACCCACACATTACTAACTGCCTTCTGGGTTGGTTCCAGAATGCACCTCTGCTCTTCCACAAACTCATGATTTTACATACTGTTTCTTAACAGGCAGGATGTTCCAGTGGTTAGGGTTCTGGCTGAGACTCGGGAGATCGGGTTTAATTCTCTGCCACACACCTCTTGTGTGATCTCAGGCAGCTCACTTAGCCTCTCTAGTGCCTGCCTTCTGTAAAAGGAGGATAATAGTGCTGATCTACCTCATGAGGTGTTAGATTGAGAAGTGCTCAGAACCCTATGGTAGTGAGATCCATAGAAGCACTTAGCTACGAAATGCATGTACGTTTTGTAAGGATTATGGTCTCAAGCTACATTCTATTATGAAAAAACGGATAGAATTCTGACCGCGTGGTGTGTGAGGGCATCAGAAGAATATTTATAATGCCTAGAATTTGAATGAGTGTTCTGGCTGTTATGAAACGTTAATTTAACAGTATTGGGGGTACATTTTTCTTGTGTTTTAAAAAGGATGCATTTTTAAGTGGTTAATGCAACGTGCTTGGGTTATAATATGTCGAATGAATCACTGAAATAGAAGAGAGGCTGTTAGAAACGGAGGATCCTCACAATGTCACCTTTGTGCCCTCAGTAAGACTTTCAGGAGTATCATGCAGCTAAAGCCCAGTTAAAAAAATGTTACACTTGTGAAATGAATATTACCACTCGTTGTTCCCACCCAGTCTTCATTACTACAAAACCAAATAGTCACATCAGTCAGCTTTCAAAATCACACAAGGGAAAAGAGAGTGAATAGACTCAACCGAGCATATAAGCACTGGCTCGTTAGAAATAAGATAGAATTTAAAAACCAATGGATGCAAATTATCGGCAAATTACTTTAACTGGGCCACAACATTAGCAAGCAAAAAGCCATCTGGAATGGACTAAACACATCATCAAATTTATTTCCAGCCTGTCGGAGGTTTTAATTCCGGAAAGGCAAAATGATACCGTGGCTACATAAACTCTACTAAGATCCTCTTGAGCGTCCCTCTCGGTAGACTTGCTTGATTAAAAAATGAAATGTAAACTTTTAGACTCCCCAACAAAGTCTTTATTTAATTCTGGGTATCTTGGATGTTTTGAGATTCCAGATGAAGAAAGAGAGGCTGGAATGTTGCATTTTTCACACCATTCCTACAGGTATAATCAGAGCAGAGGACCTTCCTCTAAATCCCAAAGCTTTCACCAGAAAACAACAACAAATGCCTTCTGTCTGGATAATTCCCCATGCTCTCCTCTCTACACTGCTGCTGGAAAATTGTGTGAGAAGACCTGGGATCTTTCTCAGCATGATGTATTCTATGCTGTTTATGGTTCCATCTCTCTACCCCATTTAACATCTGAGATTGAATTTTAGACTGGCAGACTTTAAAGATCCACTCCAAAATCCACTAGTTTGATAAGATTCTTTCCATTGCAGGAGGAACCTGGACTAACAATACAACACTACAAACGAGCTGGCTTCTTTTTGTCTCTGTCCATCTTTTACTTCATTTTTAAGGGGATAATACGCACTTTAACAAAGTGTTGCAGACTCCAAAAAGAACAAGTTGCAGAGTTTAACTCTCTGAAAAGCAAGTGTCTACAATACATTAGAAATAGATCTTACCGTGTTCTTTTTGTAGAGGATCTCTCTCCCTTTCAGACCAGCTTCACCTCTCTCCTATAAAAGCCAGAGTCACTGGTTTTATTATTGCTAATTAGCAATCTAAGAAATGCTGAATTGTGCAATCTGGGTTAATAGAGAGAACCTTTTTGATGCTGAAGGAATTAACCCTTGCTGCTTGACTGGTTTCCTTGCATTGTCATTTTGGGCCTTTGTGCAATATCAACCCCAGGCATTCAAAAATCAGGTTATCAGACTGGTTTACAATCATGATGTAAGAAAATTGGAATCTTTCTATTTGCCTTCTGGAGTTTGTTTTTAGTATTTTGGGTCCACTCAGACCCAAGCTTTGCAGTCATGAAGGTTAGAAACTTTTTTTTAAATGAAAACTGAGCGACCATAATTCCTAGAAAGGTCAAATATGGCACGACTCAGGATAAAACTAAGCGCAATGCTATTATCCCCAACAGATTGCTTAGGGGGAAAACACCTATTCAATGAGATTTGCATGTGCAAAAAGCAAGGCCAAGCCACACACTGTGTTGTACTATCAAAACGAGTGTGGGATTCAGGAATGGCCAAGAGGGGGCTCTCGATTTCAGGAAAGCTAAGTGCATTTCCCAGTTGGAACACGCTGAGTGATTCTTGGACGGGAGCGCTGTTGCGCTTCGGGGAACTGCTCTGTTAATTAGTCTGTGTCAGAGCCGAGCCAGCGTGCAGTCAAGCAGATCACCATTTTAAGGGCTTGCACAGTGCGCACAGAATGGATCAGACACACACACTTTCTTCTGCCCAGGTCCTAAAGGGGATCGAGGACACCTCTCAGAGAAGCAAAAATAAGCCCTGGTGTGAATGAAAATGCAAACCTATCCCGCCCTCTCTCTGTCTGTGCAGTATAATACCTGGATTTCAGGGGCCTTCCACAGGTTTAATTTCAGGGAAACCCCTCTGCTGCTTATTTCCTAGGGTTGATCCTTCTCTTGCAGTAGCTCTGAGTTTCTTCAGATCCAAGTCTCCCTTTTTTACCCCCCTTTTAGGCCTCAACAAGGTTAACAAACTATTTATTGACTTTTCACTTCCTGGTTCCACCCTGGATTTTGTTTAAAGGGCCAAAGGCTAAATGAAACCAGCTGTAGCCGGATACTTTCCCTCTTGTCCTTGGGCGCCCATCTCCCATGGAGCACCTGTCGAGTGCCTCCATCTAGCTTGGCATTGTGCTGCATACGTATCGCTTTCGAGTCTTGGCCCGGCCGTTTCCTTGCAATCTTTGTCTTGCACGCAATTCTGGAACAGCAGGAAACGGGGAGGGATTGAATTGAAGATGGTGGCTTCTGGCTTTAAAAAAATCGATGGCCAGGTCTACACTAGGGGATAAGTTCGAATCAAGATAGGCAATTCCAGCTACGTTAATTGCATAGGTGGAATCAATGCACCTCAATTTGAACTTTGGCACCGTCTCCGCAGTGGGAGGTTGCTGGGAGAAACGCTCCCATCATCTTCCCTTACTCCTTGTGAGGAGTAGGAATACTAGTGCCAGCAAGGGTGCCCTCAGCATTTGAATTAGCAGGTCTTCACTAGACCCGCTAAATTGAATGCCAGAAGATCGATCCACACATAAATATAGACGTGTCCTTAGACTCTATAGCTATGGGCTGAGGAAGATGACTATGCTGGAAAGAAAACTCTTCGACACCCATCAGTGACTAATGTACACTCCACACACACAGACAGCTGGGAAATGGCATAACTCTCTCTGGTGGTTAACCACAACCTTTGAAAGAATGAGTGTGTCCCTTGCGAGCCCCCATAGTCTCTGTCCCCTGCCATGGGCGGCGAGTTATATGGGCCCATGGTCTCCAGGAATATTTGGCCTAGGGCCTGGCTCCCTCACTGTTTGGGGCTGGGTCTTTCCTCCAGCCCTGCCCTGCCTCCCCCCCCC